TCAATGGATTCTTCAAGGATCGTTTTATTGGTTCATTTTTTGAATCGATATTTCTCCATTATGTCTAGGTTACGATAAATTTGACCTACAATAATCCCCAAAGGAAGAATCTATATTCTAGGAATAGAAGATTAATCAAGAACTAGAGAGAATTTGATGTGTTGATTTTGTATGTTTAAAAAATATGATAGAGAGAGAGAGAGACTTCTAATCCCCAAAATTTGAAAAGAACTACAATTAGATAAGGCATTTTAGAGTTGAAAACCATACATAATTACATTAGACCAACTGACATTTTGGTTTTTGTATGAGTTGTAGGGAAACATGCTTGTGTGGACCTTACTGAGGTATCCCTTCTATGGACTTAAGGTTTGTGGGTTTCAAGGCGACATAGGTTACTTTAAAAGCTACTACATGCAAAGTCACAAAACATGAGAAATCGTGCATGGAAAATCAACACGTGTTTATGCCATTTGTGTTTGATACGTTTGGTTTCCTCGCATTGAATGCAACAAATTTTCTTAATAGAATACAGTGGATCATGCATAACAATGATATGTCCCCTAGATCTATGGATGTAGTTTTCAAAAGAATTGGATTCATCATACAAAAAAGTTTGGCGGCGCAACTTGTTGCCTGATTGCCTTCTCACTCATTGTATTATGATTAATAATTAACTTGAGATTCAAATTTAAGCACGAAAGGAAACATTTATATTAAAAAACTACATTAGAACCACTAAAAATTCAATAGTTTCTATTAAGGTCTAACCCGTTCACCGGGCAGCGGGACTCCCGCTAAGGGGCACGGACCCTTTGACCACCGTTCTTTTGTACTGAGATCAATCAAGACTCATACAAGTGTGCACTCCGCACCTCCAACCTTGTACTAAAACTAAGATATAATACCTTTTGAAACATGTATTAATCTTATTACATAAAATGAACCGGTGACACTAAAATCACCAATAATCCTCCCTCATTTTAGTGTAATCATGGAATTACACAAAAAGCAATTAAACACACCAAAACTTCCACATAAATAAAATATCAAATCGATTGAATTTTCATATTAGTATTTTACACATTTCAAATATTTGAGAATTGAGGTGTCCTAAGGATTGAACACGTCAACCCATTTGAATACATGAAGATAAATCACATACAAATTTATAATCCCCGTCTAGTCAAAATGACTTGACACTATTATTAAACCACGTGTCCTTATCCTCTCATGAATATATAAAGGCCAAGTCCACAACCTTTTGAAGTGCGACTAAACTTCAAAATCACGTAGGTAATTCCTTTATTTCATGTACCTGCAATACACTTATTTAAAGGAATTATTAAGAAGCTAAACCTCAACCTTACCCACTGCAATACCTAACTTATACTTGGGGTGATTCATTATGTGTTCCAATATACAAGTGTGAGCTTTTCACATTGAATTCAAAGTCTAATGTTGTATTATAAGGGAATTGGTGCCTCACCATTATATAATTAAATAGACTTCAAAACCATCCCAATAACAAACTTGTGCACTAAGTATCTTGCTAGACTTTTATTCAAATGATCTGCCAAATTCTGTTGTGTTCTCAAAACTCAACCAAAACTACACATTTCATGATTAATTCTCTAATCATGTTATGTCTAACACCCAAGTGCCTAGACTTGCCATTATACAGTTAGATGTAGGTCTTAGCCAAGGTGGCAACACTATCTTAATGGATATAAATAGTTGTAATTGGCTTTCACCAAAATGGAATTTCATGAGTCAAATTTCTCAACCACTCTGTTTCTTTACCAGCAGCAGCTAACATAACAAATTCAGATTCCATTGTAGATCTTGTAATGCAAGTTTACTTCTTGGAAGCCCAAGAGATGACTCATCCCCCAAGCAAGAATTCCCAACCACTCGTGTAGTGCTTGTTATAAGTATGTTTCATTTTTCCCCTTATATTTTAAAGTTTTGCATTATTAGCCCTTGGATTTAGTACGCGGGGCGTACCATATGGCACGCTTAGCGTACTAGCTGAGAAGCTAGTATGTGGGGCGTACCACATGGTATGTTTAGCGTACCAAGGAGGAGTTTGATCGTGGGTGTGAGGCCTCATAAGTTGGGCATACGAAGGTTACCTATGGTGTATGCAGAGGATAAGAAACCCTAATTTTAGGGTGTTACACCCTATATAAGACCCTTAAGTCCTTAGGGTTGGCCTCCTTACCAGCCTCCTTTGCCCTAAAACCGTAAATTTCGACCCTTAGCCTCCATTGTTGTGTATTTGAGCTCTTGAGAAGAAGTTATTGGTTATTTTGCTCATTTTGAAGGGATTAAAGAAGATTAAAGGTGCATTGCTTAGTGTGAAGGTTAGAGATCCAGAATCATCACTCATTTTGCAAATCTTTTGAGGTATCAAGTTCATACCTTGTCTTCTCTATGCTTAAATCTCTTTGTTATGGTTTTATGCTTCTTTGTCTCCTTTTGGTTGGTCTTGATGGGTTAAGGTCGTTTTAGAAGCTAAATCTTGTAGATCTGGATGTTTGGAGGGTTCATTATGCTTAACGGTGCATACTTTATGGGGTTTATGGTCTCATGCATGCATTAAGTCGTCTATTAAGTTCTTTTGAGCTTTAAGGGCTTCAGTAAGCCATGCATGCACGTAAAGTTAGCAACTTTACGTGATTAATCGCCCCAAAAAAGTCAAATCTAAGTTTCAGAGTAAAGTCTTTATGGATTAAGAGTTGGAAATGAAATTTGGTTGAATGAGGGAGTACGCTGGGCGTACAAGCAGGTACACTTAGCGTACAAGCCCTAAGGCGAGTACGCTGGGCGTACAAAGCTGAGTACGCCCCATATACTTAGTCAGTTGGGCTTCAGACGTTTTGGGCTTCAGTTTGGGCCATTTTGGACTTAGTTGCTTAGGGCATTGTTTGGCTATCAAGTTTTGGGATGATGCCTGTTTTGGGTTCTCTTGGAAAAGGCCGATGAAAGGTGTTTTGGCTCAATTTGGAAATTTGGGCCTTGGATGATTATTTTGGTATTTGGGCCTTTTGGATTGTATGTTTGGGCCTTAGTCTTGGACCAAACTAGGTAAGGGGTAAAATGGTATTTTTACCCTAGTTTTGGACTGATGGTTATGGATTGTAATCCAATTATTAATTGGATGTTATTTGGTATTAACAGCTAGGGGATTTGTAGGACCAGCAACCAAAGATTTATCAGTGTGATTCATTAGTTCGAGGTGAGTTTCCTCAATGTATTTAGCGGGTCGAATTCACTAATGCCGACCCATGATTATGCTATGTTAGGGTGCTAGATGTCTGCGTGACTTTTGCATGTGTTATGTACTTGTATGCTTACCGGTCGGGGCCTAATGATCATTTTTCATGCTATGTATCTTTGTGATTATTGCATGTGTATGTTTTTTATGATATATGTTTATATGTATGCCGGGAGGGGCCCTATCTGTATACTGGGCGAGGATCGATGCCAGGAAAGGCTCATTATGTGTTTATTCTGTATGATATGTGGTGTTTTGGGGACTCACTAAGCTTTGTGCTTACGATTTTCAGTTTATGTTTCAGGTAATTCCACTTCCAAAGGGAAGAGCTCAAGATAATTGTAGAGCACACACTACCTCGTTCCACATTTTCTTGATTTACTTTGATGTGATATGTTGAATGATACATTTTTTTATCTAGATTTTCATGATGATGTTTTTGGGATACTGGTTTTATTAATTTAAAAATTAAATTTTTGGGTCTTATTTTTGGTACGTTACAACTCGTATAAGAGTGAGCTTGAACCAAAGTATTTCTTTTGGGTTAAGTTAACTGGATAACAACTCTACAACCCAAAATTCGAAAACACCTCAAATTTTGGAGTCAGCTTGAACCAAAGTTCATATGAGGTTGTTTTGTTTCTTTTATTTGGGACTCGATTCAAAACATAGTTAGATGTAGGGATGAGCATTTGGACCGGGAAACAAATGGAACCGGTCGGGCAGGACCAGGACGATATTCTTGTGGATTTTTGGAACCGGAAACCGGTAGGAACCGGAACCGGTAGAACCATCAAAAAACCGGAACCGTATGTTGCTATTTCTCGAGGGCCGATTCTAACATTGAAGATACGGCAAGAACCGGTAGAACCGGCGGTCCGGTTCGCTTCCTATTTTCCACCAAGTTTGGTTCCCGTGGCGGTTCCGTTCAGACCGGTTCCGATGGTCATCCCTAGTTAGATATTAACATAGCCTCTCCCCAAAATCCTTCACTCAAACCCAAGTAAGAGAGCATCGAAACAAATCCAAGTCTGACTGACCTTATATCTCTCTTATGTAAACACATTAAATGAGGGTCGAGCTACTTATTTGTATCAGAACGAGGAATTGGGCTAAGACAATATATATGCCAATTCCAACTAACATTGATGTACCTCGGGCCAATCAAGTATTAATGACTAAACGACAACAATACGAACGATAAAAAGCTACATGAACATAAGTAAAGGCCGAGTGTACATTCTCACGACTAGCACACGTAACCACAACACACTCACCCATGTATAAATAGCATAATCTACAATCTACTTAGGTATGACTTCCCTGCAATCTCATACTTACTGCACTCGTTCGTATTCGTATCAACTTATCTTTCTCACGAACTAAATTGACCGTATAAACGATCTTTTGTGTTGTTTCAATGGTTATTCAACCAACATCATCCAGCACCATTTCAAAATCGACTATCTCTCAATCCCATAACAATAGTATCTATATGTGTGTGTGCATTTTTCAATATGAATTAGATTTTTCTTTTCTTTTAAGGTTTTAATCTATTTATGTGCATTTTTCAATATGAATTAGATTTTTCTTTTCTTTTAAGGTTTTAATCTATTTATGCTATGTAGAGAAAAAGATGGGTTGACCTTCCCGTTATCATCCTGTATTCCTGTTCCTTCGTGCCTTCCCCGGTTGTCTATCCAAAAACAAAATAAGGAAACCCTAACACTCTCTCTCTCTCTCTCTCTCCCCCCCCCCCCCCCCCCCCCATTTATTTGCTTATAAATACTCGTTTTAAATCATTCAGATCTCTTCTGGGCGTTACCGCTTTTGAATTTTATAAAAAAAGCTCGGGTTGGGAAAACCCCCAATTTCAATTTCAATTCAAATTTCAAGAGAAAGGTTTATATAATCCATATCAAAATTTCCAAGCTTGTATGTGTATAGATTGAAACCAGGGTTCGTTTGGAAGATTTAAGATGGAGAGATCTTCTGCGTTTGTGAACTGGGAAGAAGTTTTTTCGACAAATCATAGACGAAGAAGAGAGGTACGATATTATTTGAAACGCCGGGATGGGACTTCTGATTTGGCAGTTGTCGGCAAAGAGAAGAAATCAGCTTCCAAAACGACGACGTCTTTGTCTTCTCCGTATCGGTATCGATACGCAATTCGTGACAAATCGTTATTTCCGTCGTCTGATATACCTTTTGAAAATTCTCCCAAGCTCAGATCTCGGCGACAGGTTATTGATTGGTTGAGTTCTATTGTTACAGGTATGTAATAACATAACTCATTTCCCTTCTCAAAATTTCAATTTTCTTTCTTTCTTATTGGTTTTCTGTTTCTGTTTGTGCGAAATTGAAAGCTTTCTTTATTTTATTTAGATCTATGCTGCGTTCGATGTAGTAGTTTCGTTATCTCAATATAATTTTCGGTGAAAAATTTCCTTATCCAATTTCATTTCCTTAAGGTTTTGTAATTGCTCTTTGCATTAGAAGTTGGTCTGAGATTGGATTCTTTTCTTCTCAATTCTCTGCTTTTCTTGTGTTTCTTCTCCTCACCCTTTTTATAGAATTCATTTTTAGAGCTTTTCAGGAGCTTTTTTCTCTTGAAGTTGAATTTTTGTTTCTTAACATTTGAACCCCTCTAAAAGGGTGTACCAAATCTAGTTTTTGAAAAGGTGTAAAATTGCAACTCGGAGCAAAAAATTCTGTAGAAACGAAAAATTATATAACTCACAGATGTATATGTATCCAATTTGATTACAATTTTCTTTTTTTGGGCGAAAGTCGCTGTTTCCATGTTGTGTTTTTTTCCATGGAAAACTGACAATGATCTGGGCTGCAGGAAATATTAAATCAAATTCCAAGAGCTGGTTGAGAGCCTCGGAATTCCTGCGCCCTGATTACTAGGTTAAGATCTACTCTTGGTCAACTTAAATTTGTTTGCGTTGACTCATACACACACACACTTGCCTTCTGTTTTCAATAATTTATTCCCAATTTAACCTAATCAACATGCATCCATCTTGCATCTTTCTACCTTCTTGTGAAACTATATAACCTTTGTGTTTCATTTTCTTTCTTTCTTTCTTGTAGTACATGTCTGTAATTTCTTTAATACCAATATTAATATTTTATTTTCTTAAATGTTTTTAGATGGCTCTTTTTCATATCCACCAAAACCCATAGATGGTGTTAATGGAGCAGGAGATATGAGGTTGAAATTTGCTAACTTTCAGGTATTACATCCATTTCATATCCTTTTAATACATATAGTTTATACTTTATAATAATATAATATATTAGCATTCTTATTCTTTTTACTTTCTATTCTCTCAGGATCATAAAAAAACCCATCAAACTACAGAGCTTCTATGGGTCGGATCATGGACATGCAAGAAAAAGAGGAAACACTATGAAGCTTACACAAGAAGTGGTGTTAAAATCTCAGTAAGAACTCTTTTTTTTTTTTTTTCTTTCAATTGAAGAAACTCAAGATTTTAAATAGTTATTAACTTCATATAACTTGTTGTTTTATGGTTTTGTAGGTTCATGATTTTGTGTATGTGTTAGCTGAAGAAAACAAACGACTTGTTGCATATTTAGAAGATTTATTCGAAGATTCAAGAGGAAACAAAGTGGCTGTAGTTCGATGGTTTCACAAAGTAGATGAAGTTGTTCTTGATTCACTTCACACAAGTTATAATTACAAAGAGATTTTCTTTTCACTTTGTATTCAAGATCTCAGCATCGAATGCATAGATGGAATTGCATCTGTTCTCAGCCCTCAACACTATGAAAATTTCCTCAAACTCAATTCTTTGAATCTGATAAACCAAAAGGTGGATCCATTTGTATGCCAAAATCAGTTTGAAGATGAAGGAATCAAGCCCTTTGACATAACCAAAGTCAAAGGCTACTTTAATCAAAACATACATAAACTCATGTATGTTCATCTCAAAAAGTTTAGTAGTGATGCTGATGTGGCAGTGGATGTGGATGTGGATGTGGATTTGATCAGACCTAAAAAGAGACTTAGGAGATTAATGGAAACAGAATATGAGTACACAATAGGGTCTGAAGTAGAAGTGTTATCTCAAGATAGTGGGATTAGAGGTGTTTGGTTTAAAGGTGTAGTTATCAAGAAACACAATGAGAAGCTTAAAGTGAAGTATCAAGATATAAAGGATGGAGGGGATGAGTCTAAAAATCTTGAGGTGAGTTTTAATTTATGTTATTTTAAATTATCTTTTATAAAAATGTAAGCTTTTTCATTAAAGATTCATTGTTAATGATGTAGGAGTGGATTTTGTCATCAAGAGTTGGTGTTGATGATGAATTTGGGATGAGATTGAGTGGAAGAATGACAATTAGGCCAAAAAGATTGTTGAAAAAGAGTGATGTTTTGGTGGATGTTGATGTTGGTTGTGTGGTGGATGCGTGGTGGAATGATGGGTGGTGGGAAGGGATTGTGGTTGGTAAAGAATTGGAGGGTAAAAATGGAAATAGAATCCATGTTTATTTTCCATGGGAGAAGAAAAGATTGATTTTTGGGTGTAATGATTTGAGATATTCTCAAGAATGGTTTAAAGGGGAGTGGAAAGAGTTTAACAACAGATTCGATCTTGTTGGTTTGATTTCTTGTGATTCTGAAACTAAATCACATGATAATAATGTGTTATTATCTACTATGGTTGTTGTTGTTGTTGATGATGATGATGATGATAAAGGGCAAAATGGGGAATATGTAATTGGTGATTTGAAGTGGAATTGGTCAAGAAAGAAGAGACAAAAGAGGAAAGCATGTGAGAGATTCCAAGTTGAGAATTTGGTGACATTGAAAAAAAGAAGAAAGGATAATAGTGAATGTAAATTCATATGTGATTCTTCTCTTTTTTGTCATTCAGTTGCTTCCTCCACCCCTTTAATTATGTCCAGGTGAAAGAAAATTACGTTTTTGCCCTTGTGATATGTTGTACATTTGTGTCGCTTTTTGGAATCATAGTTTTTAGGAGTAGGATGTTGTTGTTAAGAAAAGGTAAGTATCTTGATGAGTTAGTTATAGTTAGAGTTAGAGTTAAGAGTAACGTAGCTACAGCTCATTTTCTTTTGAGGGTTTTGTGTTGTAGCAAGAATCAATGATCAATCCCTGTTTTTTGTATCATGTATAATTTATTTTATTTTATTTTTTGTTGTAAAATAAAGGGACTCTTTTGATGCATTTTGACCTATTTTTCTCTTCGGGACAAGATTTTGGTACACAAATAATTGTAAGATAGACAATGTGAAAAAACGTAAATACTAACGATGTTTAAAACGTATGAAATCGAAGCTATTGAATTTGAAAAACTATTTTTTTTTAAAAGAAAAGTAAGACAAATTTTTATAGTAAGGAAGACCATATTTGTAATAATATGGAAAACTTTGGACAAAATAGTAATTATCTTTTGTTTGCTAAATGATGAGTGGATGTAGTATTGATGAACTCATAGGAAGTTCTATTGAAAAGTTTTAAATTTATGTGAAAAATGTCAGTAAAGTCTTGAAATTTTTTTTTAACAGAAAAATCCAATTATTTTGAGAAAATCATATAATATATCATTTGTTGTTCAAATATAAAAACTATTTTTTTCGTTAATTTAGGTAAAATTTTAAATAATCGTGATTTTTCTGTTAAAAAAAACTTTTAAAATTTTATTGAAATTTATAGATTTTCCAATTTATTAGGTCTTGTTGTTAGTTTTATTATTATATTTTGTTATTATTTAAACATGGTTAAAATTGATATGACCGATGAATTACACCGGTTGAAAATTTTATTTGATGAATTACAAGAAATCCATAATATTTGTAGTAGGAAATACCTTACAATTGGGGGATTCTATTTACACCATGTGAATTACGTTTGCTTTGGGGATATTTATTTTTGTTAGTTGTTCTTTAATGACGGCTTGGCATTTATTGGTTTGGTTTTGATTTGATGACTTATTTAGTCTCATTACTTGTACTTCATTTATGCTTCCTCTAAAAGTCATGTGTAGACTTATTACCAAAGCAGAAAACGACATCCATCCTGGTTTGCTGATTTTTATTTTTGATTAATTTTTTTTTCACATTTTACATTTTACTACCCAAATATGGTTTAATTTATGAGCCCATAAGTTATTATTATTATTATTATTATATCCATACTTTTTGATAACTGGATAAACAGAGATTCGATTATGATTAGATCAATAATTCAAAATATTTAGTCAAACAAATAAATAATTACAAGTTGATACAACAATCTAATAATTTTTTCGTCTACTTTTTTAATATTCTCTATGTAGATTAAAAGTTTTTACAAGAGAGTAAAATTGGTCGATGTTCACCTGAAAAAAATTGCTTCAATTTGTGTATTGAGCATTTAAATTATACAAAGTTGGTTTAATTTGATATAATCTTGTTTTATTTTGGTTTAGAGATGGTTACATTGACAAACACTCCTTGGCTTTTCTTCTAGCCTCATCGTTTCCTTTTGCCAGAAAAAATAAAGCCGATTTTAATGACACTGAAAAAATCAATGTAATAATTAGGAAAAAAGTTTAAGTTGATTTGCTGGAAATTGGAAAAGGTCGAATTAAGCCATATCTTAGTCGTCGGAATATTAAACAAGTCAAAACCAAGTTTCATCTAGTCCATCGTTTTTGTTTTCACGGCTGCACTAAACTCTTTTCTTTCGCCTGCATTGTGTTCCCAAGTATTTTTAAGGAGAGAAGCAAAAGGAAATGAGAAGAAAAATCAATAGTGTTCCCTGCTTTTTGAATGGAAGCAAGTTGAAAGAAAAGAAAAGAAAATTATCGACAATATTCTCTTCTAGCTTTTCTTTCAAAATGTAATCCAATACAAATATAGAGTTCTGTCCTTTAACGAGTTTACCCCTCAACTTACTAAGGATTGTATAGTCTTTATAATGATACCTAGTTGTGAGATTCATATACTGTACGTAGGAACTGATTATATATATATATATATATATATATATATATATATATATAATATATATATATATATATATATATATATATATATATATATATATATATATGAAGCTCTAAACACGAAACATTTTAAAAGTAAACTTTCCAAATAAATATGAGTAAAATGATGAATAAGTGATGAATAAGTGAGTATTTCAATCTATATTAATAAAAAACTATTGATATATTTTAAAGAATTGTCCACAATCATAAACTTCTAAAGATTTTTTTTTGAAAATAACATTAGATGTAAGCAACATTGATGTTTAGTAAATTGTTAATTTAAATTAATTTTCTAATATATTTTGAAGATAAAAACAACATTATTTGTAACATCCTGTTTCGGGTAGTTCTGTGATTTAAGGTTCATAGGCCGTAATTTGGGTATGAGAAGGTTCTGAGGTTTTATAGAAGAAAGTTAAGGTTTAGACCCTTTTGGATGCAGGTAAGATAGGTTGTGTGATAAAAGAGTTCGGTTTGTGCTTTAGAGCCAAGGGTATCGATAAAGGCGTGGCTCGGACCTTTATGAATTTGGGTTCCGTCCGGGTATTCTTAAGGCTATGGTGAGTTGTTAGGAGCGTAGGGCTTCTCGCCACCTTTCCGTGGATATAAGGTTCGTTGGAAACGGGACATAAGACGGGGATGTTATGACAGTTTGAAATAATGGCAGAAATGGTCCTCAGTTGAAAAGATTGGCAAATTGGTCCCTTCCATGCAAGGGGGAAAGTGGGTTTTTGGCCACGTACGCTCAGTGTAATTGGCAGAAGTGCCAAACCCTAATTTTTAGGGTTTGGACATTATATAAACACATTTATGGCTCTTGTCAGCTTCATATCTCTTCCTCTACTGACCTTAAGACTCATTTTCGAAGCCCCAACCTTCCCAGGAGTGTTGTGAGCTTAGTTCTGTGCTTTTGGTGCATATTCTTGAAGAAGGTGGTTGGTGCAAGTTTGGAGCTCAAAGGAAGGCTTATAGATCCAGATTCAATACTTTATT